ATTACTATGGGTAGAAAGACACAGGTATCACTAATGTCAGGTTGGGCCATCTGAATTTACAAATGAGCATGTACAGATATTCCTAGACTATTAAAGAGTTAGCTTTGGGCAGAAAATTCCCTAGAGGGGCGCGGGTCTATGCGGGGCCCCTCCTTAAATTTCTAGGTGTACAAAAAATAAATAAATAAAATTAAAGTAAAAACGAAATGATGGTAACACGCTGAAAGTATGGGATCAAACACCAAAGAAAGCTTTTAACGGTCATCAATGTGGATGCTGAAACCGCTATAGAACGAAACTACTGTTGACGTCGACGCTAATAATTAATTATAAATTTGGAGAGATACTCATACAGAAGGCTTGTAAAATATTCATAGCGTAAAACTTCCACAATTTGCCAAATTCTGCACGAAAGACTACGACACCCCCCCAGTTTAGACAGTGAGCTGGATTTCGTAGAATGTTTATCTAATGAGAGACATTATGATACTATTTTTAAGTAGTGTGCTAAATGTTTGTTAAAATTCTTCAAATAACGCTGATTTCTTCAGGGATTTTTATAAAACACAAGGTTAATATTCCGTATTATAATGTGTATCCTTAGGCTCACATGAGATAACAAGAACTTCGGTAGCAGAAATTAAATTTTAAATATTTATATGGTAGCAGGAAAAGCGTCTATTTTGCATCTTACACAAAGATATCCCCTGTGAATAAATCGGTGGCCACACTGATGAACTGTCGATTAGGAAGGTTATTAATATCACCAGTGGTGATTAATTATGCTATCAATCTCTGTCGAAGGTGCTTTGCCCTGCAAAATGCACAGGAGGGCAAGGTAATTCACACAGGCTTAACAGATTTCCTCCTGCTAGCCACAACCAGTGTTAACTACGGTTTAATCGTATCGGAGGTGCTGATGAACGATGTCTATATGGCAACTAGAACTTATAGGACACCATACAATTAGCGAAGAGTGACAAACGTTAAAATTTAAGTAACTTCCATTTCACAGTAACTCCCGAAAGTTTATTAAAATTTAAAGCGTAAAAGCCTATTAACAGCTAACAGCCGCTTTGTGGTTTTATCGATGACAAAGGGAATCTTTTATTCTTGACAGTGAAATGACAATGGAATAGGATTGACTGATGGGATAAAAACTACGAGAATCTGTGAGTTAATTATGTTTTTAGAACGTGGTTATTCACTATAAGATGACGTTGAATGGGCGTAGCATTTGAGGTTAACTGAGCGTAGCGGGTTAGTGGTTAGTACATCTACCTCGTAATCAGATGGTCAACGAAGATCGGATGTCCTGAGTTGAGTATTGTTGAGAAACTGATAGTCGCTCAGCTGTTGAAGAAATTCCTTTATTTTATGGGACCCATTGATTCTTCAACGTGTTCACAAGAGCCAGCCACTGGTACCCGCTCCGAATCAGATTCCGTTCAGATCCTCACAACTTTTCTAAGACCCGTTTTAATATTATCCTCTCATTCACGCCTGCTCGTAAGTGGTCACTTCATTCCTTGATTTCTTATTAAAGTTCTATTAATTTACCTCTCCTATGCATGATGCTTGTAATATATAGCTGTCCCCGGTGCTTAATTAAGTGCCACTCCATACAGACGTAAGGAGGAGTGAAGGGAGAGCTCCATCAATCTAGGCATTACGTGAAGGTGAGAGGTTAGCTTCACGCCCCCTTCGCTTTACCCAGAGTAAAAAATCCCGGCCCCCACTGGGTAGGGTGTGGGTGGACCCCTGAGCCGGGCTTGACAATGTGGCGAAGAGAGGAGCCCTGCTCTGCCGGGAATCGAACCCGGGTCATTCAACCCAGTAGACTAGCCAGAGTACCGACTGTAAAGTTCCTGTGTATGTGGACATGGGCTTGGCATTATGTTTACTTTATAGAATTCTTTGTGCGCAGAATCAGTTCCTTTTTATATAAAAACTAAATTTGAGATTAACGTAATTGATGGTGCATATTTCGGTTATTATTTTTCTTCAGAGACAAAAGTAAGCACCGGTCTGTAACGATGAATATGAACGTAAACATATCAGAATCGTCCTTTCGTGATGAAGAAACTAAACATGGGTCTAAATCAATACAGACGTCCTTGGGGTTCGAAGTGCGAACAAAACTCCCATCACTTTCTAGTAACGTTAGGCGATGGATAGGAGGATCTAGTCTTCCTGTATATCCAATTTAGGACTGTAACTGAGCTCATTTTTGTGTTTCAGGGTCTTTGTAGCGAAGTGAGTTGTCAAATATTAATTCAAAGGCAGACCTCACAATCAAATAACTGCATCCCATTGGGTTCGCACCTACTGTAAACAAGGCCGTCAGCACCCACATACTCCACTGGCCTCAGTTGTCTTCTGATCTGCATGCAATTAACATTAAAATAAATCTTTAGGTCTTTGCAATCTCAAGACATGTTTGGACCCGAAAATGTGTATGTAGCTGTTTTTGGTGTCCATTAGCAATTTTTTTCCTTTAGAAAAATAAAACGGGCTCGTTTAGAGGACGGTTTGTGGTGTCAGTCTATTCTCGTGGACGAAATGACAACGAAAGTGTTTCTTTTTTTCCCCGTGGAAAAACAGTAATGACCTCTTTGAAGTACTGCCTCTATATTTTGTTGGGAAGGGCCGGAATTGTGACCTTGAGTGGCATGCGGTCCAAATATATACGTACATCGCAAATCAGATTCTCTGAACATGAGCTTAACCTTGCTCTCAGACATTCATAATTCAGTCCCCTCACTCCTCAGTTATTTCGGTGGTCGTTCTGAATTTCTTGGTACATTTTTACCATACCATCATGTACGTTAATGTACAGTAACGCTTTAGACTTCTGTTTGGGAGGTGCACATTTCGAGTATTGGCTGGGCTGGCTCTATCATGACGGAAGTAGATGTTTAAGTCCTTCCGGTTAAATACAAGATAGAAACTTGAAGAATGACACTTCTGCCACCTTACGCATCCTTATCTACTGATCATTGTTCCCATGTCATTTGACGCAATTTAGTAGCGTGAGATTGAAACGTCGTCGTTAAATGACAGAAGAATCAATCAACCTTGTCCCATATAAATAAGACTACAGTGTGAAAATGCACTAAAATTCAATTGTTTCGTCTGTTGGACGAAGTTTCCAGATGCAAGGATAGACGGGCAAGTGCCTTGATGTCCACACAGAAATGCTGTTGAATGCTGGTAATCATTATTACAGGGGTTCCCAAATTCTCAAGACCGGGTTCAACATTCACCCTTTCTTAAATAAGCGCGTGTCCGCGGGGAATAGACTGATCTTTTTTTAAATTTCATTTAAATTCATTACAAATGCTACTAACTTGTCGCAAATGGGTTCACATATTCCTAATCATTCTCTTTTACGAATTTGTTATTTTTTTTATTTGAATTATTCACTTATATTAAATAGCATAAAATTTTTGTGACAAGTATTCTGTTCATTATACGGAGTGACGTAGTGGTACAGCGGGCCGTATCAGACTCGCGGGTCGCGCGACCATATAATCCTCGCATTAGGGGACTCAGCCCCGACGTCAAAATGTACATTCACTGCACAATGCAAAACTGCAATTTCTCAGAATTAGTCTGCCTTTCGCTCACCAGGTGTCAGCTCACGTTCGATTCGAGGCCAAGTTTCGCCGAGTTCCGCTAGAGTGTATTGCCTTTCACATTTGCTGTTTATCTGCTTTAAATTATGTATTTGTCGATCTATATTTTAATTTTAAACAGATGAACAGTATAATATAATTCTTGATGAGCTGTTGATTGTTATTTCACTTAACTTACGACCTGTGCCATTATGTAAAGAAGGGCATTACTCTTTGGAATCACTTGGGGGGGGGGGGGGACCCTAGGGCCCTGACCGTCGCCTCCTCTGACAATGGTCTGTTGGTCTACTACAGGGCTCCAAATACGGAAACTAAATTATGTTCTGAGCTGCTGCAAAAGCACCTCGTTAAGTCCAAGGACATCTCTCTAAGACTTGAGGAACCATTGATCTCTCTTCATAACCATTCTCGGCAAAGCCGGCATTGCTGTTGAATGCGCAACACGTCGAAAATTGAGAGCGGAATCAACTATTACCTACGGAAGCTTTCGAGGATGTCTTGGGTTTATATATATCAAAACTTCTCGAAACGGAGAAACGAAGTGGGTAACGTAATTTGGTATTAGGTGTTACATGAATTACGCGTTTCTGCTTTACTAAACTCTGTTAAATATTTCGTAAAAAAATGAGCAAAAAAAAATTAAACTTATTGTTAATTTCATGAGGTGCATTTTTCCAGTCCATTAAACTTAAAAGTACTGAACTTTCTGTAGACGTCGTTATTTAAAAATGTCATTGCTTGTTTATTAGCATGCTATGTGGAATGTGTGTGTGTGCATTAGACCCCGTGCCATGCTGGTGTCCTCGTTCTAATTAAGTGGCCCACTTCTCGTCTGTGAAACTGAAGAAATGTACGCCGATGCAATATGGCGACAAGTTAAAAAAAAACAGCAGCCATATTATAAGCAAGACTCGAACTCTTAAGCTCAAGAAGTTGCATCGTTATCGCAATTTAAACACTTGAAACAGTGGCGTCAGAAGTTTAACTTCCACGATAAAAAGTGTGTCGAGACTTTTTATAAGTAAGCCTTGTTATACACAAAATGTTGTCTTTCACATACAAGACTGTTACATAAACAGTGGCTGTGTTATAACTAGGTATAAAAATCCTCTCGCGTTAATGCATTAAGAGAAATTTAGTAATCAGAGTGTGTCGTTTAGGAACAGGATTGCGTATATTATGATACGTACATGCAATACTGACACTTAATTACCAGAATGGTATCCAGGACTCTCAGTTGATGGACATTTTCTTGTTCCACGTGGTGCAAGCCTCTGCTTGCTAAAACTAATGAACCACCACCACAACCCCGAATACCGCATGCCCCGTTCCGACATACAGAGAGATGTTTGTAGTCAGTACCGTGTCGAAGCGATGGAGTCGGTCCTCCGACACTGCGGGCGCAAGAAGTTGTCTGTCTCGCCGACACTGCCTGCAGCCACAGTCGCGGTATCCGAGCAATCTCAAGGGCGGCGGCGGAGGAGGAACTGGAGGCGGAACTGGAGACGACAGTTCCAGCGAGTCTGAGGAACTGGTGTTAGCCCCACCGCTGTACTGCTGATGAGTCTCACGACAAGTCTTGTTGGCATTGCAGTTACCATTGAAGATAAGCCTCGCCTCTCGGAACTCTGGCAGGTAGCGCTGTTGTTGCTGCTGTGGCTTGCCGCTGCAGTTTTGTTGAGGCCGCAGAAAGTCGTCCAGGAGATAAAAGGACTGAGCACGTGTGGAGGAAGAGACAGCCTGATCTTGCTGTGGATACTGATGATGGGACTGTGGGAGGGATGCCGATGGGATCCTCATCAGAGCTCCCAAACTGCGCCACCTTCGTTGTGGCCCCACGTCGCAAGGAGGCGTTTCCATGACTGAGTTCTCTTGTTCGTCTTTTGTAGACCTGGTGCGACGCGACCTGGGAGGCCACCAGGCCTGAGGACTCAGCAGGCTGGCACTCTTCTTCATCAGGACGCCTCGCAAAGAAGTCTGATTTTCTTTCTTCGTTCCTGTTCTCGATCTACCCACCATACCATCCTCGTTCTCCCCCTCTTCCTCCAGGACCATGACGGATGTGTTTCCGTACTTGACACTGAGTCGCATGGCCACAGAGGCAGCGGGACCTCTGCCTCCTCTGGGGCGGACCACAAATCCATAATCGGTATCAGCACAAGCCGTTGGCAGAGTG